GATCTTACATGATTTACAAAAGCTCTTATGTATTGAAGTTCTTATTTATATTATATAGATAGAGGAGAGGGGTGGCACACCAGAATCTCATTCAAGTCAACGTCCTAAAATACTTCAAACACAAATATTCATGGATACTGCATGTGTGTGTACATGCATGTGTGTGTACATGCACAAACATAAGCCACCTTCTCAAGGCATATAAAGGCTGGTCTGTTTAAAGAACACAATCATACCCATGTCAAAAACGGCACGTTACTGCAGACATACTTTAAAAACTACACTCAAAGTGAAACTTGAAATGAGTTTTCTGTGTAGCTCTTGAGTGAATGTCTGCACTTAAATCCAGTCTCTGCGCTTACTGACTGTGTTCATTTGCATTAAGCTACATAACCTCCCTGTTACCTTCCTTCCTTCATCTATAAACTCGGATTAGTGACAGGACTAAACCCTGGAATGCTGTAAGAGTAGACTAAATGAGGCAACAGACATTTCAAACAATGGCTTGGCCGGCGCCGTGGCTCACTAGGCTAATCCTCCGCCTAGCGGCGCCGGCACACCGGGTTCTAGTCCCGGTTGGGGCACCGGATTCTGTCCAGGTTGCCCCTCTTCCAGGCCAGCTCTCTGCTGTGGCCAGGGAGTGCAGCGGAGGATGGCCCAAGTGCTTGGGCCCTGCACCCCATGGGAGACCAGGAGAAGCACCTGGCTCCTGCCTTCAGATCAGCGCAGCGCGTCGGCCGAGGCGGCCATTGGAGGGTGAACCAACGGCAAAAGGAAGACCTTTCTTTCTTTCTCTCTCTCTCTCTCTCTCTCTCTCTCTCTCACTGTCCACTCTGCCTGTCAAAAAAAAAAAAAAAAAAAAAAAGCTCATGGGTACTGTTTAATAAGTATCAATAATGTTGACATTACACAACTATCATTATAAAAAGTAGTGGAAGCATAACTTGTGAAAGGCTAGTTGCAAATGAGTTTATAAGATATACAATAAGACTAAATTTAAAAAATGAAACTCACCTAAAACCTCCTTAATAGAATTAAATCAAATATGGCATTGGAACTGATTATACACCATATAACTTGTTTCTGGAAAGAAATATATATGCAAAAGAAACAGCTTTTTATTTTATGTTTTTCTTCAAAGGACTATGTTCTTAATATCTGGTGCTTCTTTTTTTTTTTTTTTTTGACAGGCAGAGTGGAAGAGTGAACAGTGAGAGAGAGAGACACAGAGAAAGGTCTTCCTTTGCCATTGGTTCACCCTCCAATGGCCACTATGGCCGGCACACCGCACTGATCCGAAACCAGGAGCCAGGTGCTTCTCCTGGTCTCCCATGGAGCGCAGGGCCCAAGTACTTGGGCCATCTTCCACTGCCTTCCCGGGCTACAACAGAGAGCTGGCCTGGAAGAGGGACAACCGGGACAGAATCTGGCGCCCCGACCAGGACTAGAACCCAGTGTGTCGGCGCCGCAAGGCGGAGGATTAGCCTAGTGAGCTGCGGCGCCAGCCCTGGTGCTTCTTATTTCATAACTCTTTCCCAATTCAGGCTACCAAAAATTCCAATGATTATAGCAATCGTCATTACCCTGACCAAAGGATCGCATGTTATTTAATCTCTGGAGAAGCGCCAGAACATTTTCTATGTTGCATCACCAGAAAATGTATTTTAAAAAAAAAAGTTTCAAGTAACTGCTGGAGGCGATACTATTTCACTCTCACTTTTTGTATTAAAATATACCTTTAAAAGTTTCAAAAGTGGAATTGCAAAAGAGCTGAGACAGCAATCTCAGAGAAACTTAAATACATCCCAAGGATCCAGATATTAATCCTCAGGGAACTTAGTGCAGTACCAAGCGCAATGCCCCTCACTCACCTAACAGATCGGAATCTCTGGGAGTAAAGCAGACACCTGTACTTTAAACAGTCCCTCAGGGAACTCTTTTCTTCTGATGTCATTTTAACAGTGAGTGAGCTCATCTGAAGGCCCCAGTGTAAGGCTGGACCTTGAGCAAATTTCCAGGAGTGTAGACCAGGAGGAGTGGGGCAGGCAGGCCCAGTCAAAGGGATGGTGGAGAGATCACAACTCAGTGTAGGGAGCTGGTTTCAGCGTGGTACGTACCAGGATGTGACCATACCTGTCCCAGGCAAGCAGCTGGGGCCCGGCTGATGGACAAGGACCACCAACCCAGACATTCATCAGAAAAACACGGGGCCTTCACTGTTAACTCTTCTCCCAGTTCCTAGTGTCTTTTCCATGACCCATTCTGGAACTATCGGCCTCCCAGGAAGTTCAATGCCAATAAACCAAGGACCAAAACACCTCAATAAAGGAAACCGGTTCTGCTCTCAACACACAGCAGGAACAGCTATAAAGAGTAAAAGTCCTTGGGCTGATTATACTGGATTATTAGAGTCAGGAACTTTAAAGAGAGAGACCTTCCTTTCAAAACAATTAACCAAAAGATAAACAACCAAGCAGAATTTAGGATTCTGTTCAAATTTAGGGTGAAAATGTAAAGTAAAAAGCGTAAATCATTACGTTAAAAGTAAATTCTAAACGGAACCTTGTCAGACCCCACATGTGCAGAGTGACAGTTTGGGACCAGGTAATTTCTAATATTCTGTCTGGCTCAAACTCTAAGATCAGATGCCACACAAAGTCCTCCAACTTTACAGCTGGATATGTCAGGCTGTTTAAAAACTATACTGTAAGCTTCTTCTGATAGTGCGAACAGCCCTGGAATGTCAGCATACTGACAGCTGCATCCCATAAACAATGCAACAGTATTGTTCTCAGACTTCCTCGCGAGCATGTGTCCTGAATGCAAGAGAGCAAAAATAACTATTTTCTCTTTCTTAAGACTGCTAATATTAATAGCTACTCCCTGCTGAGGCATTAAAAAGGCCCCGTGGTTAAGGATTCCCGAAAGTCTCATGAACACGAGAGAAATATCATCAGCTAACTCAGTAAGTAACATGCCAAACACAGCTCACTGACAATCATCAATTCTGAAATATTGAACAAAAAATTAAATGCAAAACAAGCAGCACTGGTTTAGAATCTGAGTACCACTGTCTCTTCCCTTTGGTTCAACAGGAAAGAAATTTCCATGGTATGCTTCCTCCTACTTCTACCATTCTTAGCTATGCACATGACTTATTGTCTAAGTTACTCTGAGCACCCTGGGGGATGAGATTTTCTCTGTAGGAATCTGCATCCAGTGTGGGCTAAGCAAGCTCATCATAATGAAGTTTTACACAGAATGTGTATGGGTATCTCTCAGTGTAGGGTGATTCTGTGCAGCAAAAGGGGAGAAAAAAAAAAACAGAAAATCTGCTTCTTTGGATTCTCAATAGTTACTATTTCTAAAGTCTAGGGGACTAACGAATCTTACAATTAAAAACACAGATAAAGCCAGCCTAAGAGCCTACCAATAAACTTTGCTTTCTTGTGAAAGGAACCGGTGTTTTCAAAGCTAAGCCACAGTTACGGCCCATGCTGAACTCAAAATGGGGAAGCCAAAACAAGTTGGCAAAAATGACACGTTTAACATTAAGAGCTGTCCCCGGTGGTCACGCCGACCCTGCTGTCACGTTTGCCATTTCCTACGACCCCTCCTCCAGTCCGATCGAGAACCTCCTCTCCGAGAGCGACTTGCAAACCACGCGGTTGCAGTTAATAAGTGATAATAAGATACCGCAGATCAGAGATCCATTAGACAAGGAAACCTGACGCTACCAGCCAGTGAGCAGCCACACCCCACCCCTTCGCCACAAAACTTAGACTATGCTCTATTAACTTCCAGAGAGGGCGGCTGTCATCTAAATTCACGGCGGACTGCTGCAAATCCGCGTCCTTTGCTTTGGGAGGTTCTACCTCGGGTCTGTGAACACCGCCCCAGTAAAGCCGACGGCTTCACCCGCGTCTCAAACAGAGTGGGACTGGGGCGGGGGACCCCCGTCGATCCTTGCATTACAGTGAGACTTGGGTCCCGGCCGCCAAGCCACTCAAGGCACGGAAAATGCACTTTCACTACGCAGGGCGACAACTAAAGTTTCAAAAGTCAGCCAAAGCCCAGCGGTGCCCTGTGCCTCCAGGGTGGGCGTTGCTATCGAAATATAATTTCACAGGTTCCCTAGATCATCGACTTTTAACCCCACAAAGGGCCTGCTTGCGGGTACTGGCAAAAACCCGGAGACAGAGAGCGAGCCAGCGAGCTTTGCAGGGGAACGGCCGGGGTTAACTGAAAACAGCAAGAACTCCGAGTTGCCGGCCGCCGGGGCCGAGCGGGGCGAGGGCAGGGGGCGTACCTGCCAGCGGCCATAGGTGAGCAGCACCATGGCGATGGGGATGGCGGTGCCGGACATGGCGTGCGTGGACGGCATGCTGTACTCGGAGTTGTAGAAGATCTCCAACTTGACGACGGGCGGCGAGGCGGGCCGCGGCCAGCGGATGATGTCCTTGGTGCACTGGCCCAGGTACATGACCAGCACCCAGATGATCACCAGCCTGCGGCCCACCAGGGGGTCCAGGTTCCAGATCCAGAAGGGGAAGAAGACGATGTAGAAGAGCTCGTTGCCCAGCTCCGTGCCCAGGCAGAACAGGTAGTAGAGCGGCCAGTTGCTCACGCGGGCCAGCTCGCCCTCCTCGCCCGTCAGCGAGTTGCGGCGCAGGGCGCCCGCACGCCGCGGGGCCGCCGCCGCCGCCGCCGGGCCCAGCTCGGCCGCCAGCCCGTTCCGCACGCCGTTGGGGGCGCCGCCGCCGCCGCCGCCAGTGCCGCCGTCCGCCTTGGCCGGGCACTGATTGCGCTCGCCCTGCGGCGGCTGCAGCCCTCGCCGCCGGAGGTCTCCGGCGAGGGGCGCCTCCAGCTCCTCATCCTCCCGCGGCGGCTCCGGGCAGCGGCTCGGCGGCGCCTCCACCCCGCACAGCCGCTGGAAACGGGCCACTTTCTGCGGCTCCTGCAGGCGGCCGGCCAGCTGGGCCAGGCGCTGCCTCAGCGACATGATAACGGGGCCCTCAGGCGGGCGGGCGGACCACCACCCCCCACCCCGCAGCAGCGCAGCCCAGTGGCAGCGGCAGCGGCTGGCGGCGCCTCGCTCGGCCCGCCGGAGTCTGCCGGGGACGGCGCCACAGGCCGCAGCGCGGCCGCCGCGCGCCCCCGCCCGCGCGCCCCGCCCTCGCCGCGCGCCCCCGCCCGCGCGCCCCGCCCCCGCCGCGCGCCCCCGCCCGCGCGCCGCGCCCCGCCCCGCCCCCACCGCGGCTCCCTGAGGGGCCCGGCCGGGCGCATCCGGCGGAGGCCCTGTGAGCGCGCGGCCGCCGCGAGGCGCCTCTGCCGCCGGCGGGAACGTGGCGCGTCCCCGCGCGCGCGCGCACGCACGCACGCTCGCGCCTGGCGCGGACTCCTGCGAGGCCTCCGGTGCGGTGCTCGCCGGCGGTGAGCGAGCCGCCGGACATCCTGTTGGCACCGGAGCGGCTGGGAAACGGTGAATGAGGGCGCGGTGACCGCCACGCACGGCCGAGCCGTTCCGCCGAAGTAATGAACAAGTCATTAGGGGCCCCGTCTGACGGTTGTCGCGCGGAGAGCCACGCGCCGGCTACACCGCTGGCGGCGAGATCCGAAGTGGGCCCGGGGTCGGGGCCCGGATCCGCGATGGATAAAACTGGACAGCTGCGGGGTGCGGAGGAAAGCCCAGCCGCTCATAAATGCAGAGTAGTGTGTCACTCATCAGATACTGGCGGTCCCCGTTGCGGGAGCGCAGGGGGTTCGCGTGTGCGTGGAATCGGGTGACGTCCGCGGAGCTGCGGGGTTCAAGTGCAGAATGGCCGCGTTGGGTGGGGCTGATCTCGATGGAGACGCTGCACTTGCCGGCCGCGGTGCCAGGCTTGACTTCTAGAAGAGAGCTGTGCAGGCGCCCAGGCAGTGACCTCGGCAGATGGGATCTGAACGGCTTGCAGGACACTGGGGTGACCGGGGGTCACGGGCAGTCTCCTCGGCTCCCAGGGGAAGATGCGACAGGAAGCCGGACAGACCGACAGCCGGAGCTGAGAAGAGGAACGAGGGTCGGAAATGTGCAGAGGTGTCTGGTAGACCAGGGCTCAGAGCACCCAGAGCCAGTGCAAACGGGGTTAGGTGGGAAGACGAGATCTGGCTATAAGGCCGCGAACGCCAAGCCAGGGATTTTCTTTCCTAGGCACTTGGGAACTCTGGAAGGCTTTTTTTCTTGTCGCTTTTTGTCACAAGAAGAGTTACAGAGAGCAGAAAGAGAAAGTCTTCCGTCTGCTGGCTCACTCCCCAGATGCCCCCAATGGCCTGAGCTGCGCCAATGCGAAGCCAGGAGCTTTGTCCAGGTCTCCCACGCAGGTGCAGGGGCCCAAGGACTTGGGCCATCTTCCACTGCTTTCCCAGGCCACAGCAGAGAGCAGGATCAGAAGTGGAGCAGCCGGGACTCGAACTGGTGTTCATATGGGATGCCGGCACTGCAGGCGGTGGCTTTACCCGCTAGGGTGCAGCACCAGCCCCCTCGAGCAGCATCTTAACCACTTAAGCCACGTGCCCACCCCAGCTTCCTCTTCTAATTCAGGTGCTTAATCACTTAATCACTTTCTGATTTATATTCAAAACTATTTCGCTTTTCAAAATGGTAAGATTCATTTTAAACTGAACATTATAATTATTTTCTTTTGCTTACCTGATATCCAACTTAATTTCTTGTCTGTGCAGCTGCAAAACGTATGTACTGCAAACCATTTACTATAAGCTGTCACACTACATTTTTGACATGTTGATAACAGTACACAGTACCTTATCAGCATCATAAACAGTCATTATGTTGTTTTTAAGAGTAAACCTATGTTTATTAAATTCTTTATGAATACCTACTGATGTTATTCATTAGCATTATGGCTATCAAAAATAGGATTTACTCTGAATTCCCAGATGTCTATCACAGCACTAGTATATATAAAATGTGTGATGATACATGCAACATTTTATCACTAACAGGTAAGGAAACTTTTACTCTCTAAGTTTTTTATGCTTCCATCTTCAAATTACTCTTTTCCTTAACTAAGATTCTAAAACAGGGTGCCAGTGCCTGCAGCGCTGGCATCCCATATGGGCACTAGTTCAGTTCCAGCTGCTCCACGTCCAATCCAGCTCCCTGCTAATGCGCCTGGAAAAGCAGTGGGAGATGGTCCCAGTGCTTGGACCCCCGAACCCATTTGGGAGACCTGGAAGCAGCTCCTGGACCCTGGCTTCGGATCGGCCTGGCTCTGACTGTTGTGGCCGTTTGGGGAGTGAACAAGAAAATGGAAGATTCTCTCTCTCTCTCTCTTTCTCTCTCTCCAACTCTGCCTTTCAAATAACATCTTTTTTAATAGATTTTTTTTTTTGACAGGCAGAGTGGACAGTGAGAGAGAGACAGAGAGAAAGGTCTTCCTTTGCCGTTGGTTCACCCTCCAATGGCCGCCGCGGCCAGCGCGCTGCGGCCAGCGTACTGTGCTGATCCGATGGCAGGAGCCAGGTACTTCTCCTGGTCTCCCATGGGGTGCAGGGCCCAAGGACTTGGGCCATCCTCCACTGCACTCCCTGGCTACAGCAGAGAGCTGGCCTGGAAGAGAGGCAACCAGGACAGAATCCGATGCCCTGACCGGGACTAGAACCTGGTGTGCCGGCGCCGCAAGGCGGAGGATTAGCCTAGTGAGCCGCGGCACCGGCAATAGATTTTTTAAAGATTTATTTATTAATTTGAAAGTCAGACATATATATAGAGAGAGAATGTGCATCTGCCGGTTCACTCCCAAAATGTTTGCAACAGCCAGAGCTGAGCCTATCTGCAGCCAGGAGCCAGGAGCTTCCTCTGGGTCCCTCACATGGGTGCAGGGGCCCAAGCACTTGGGCCAACCTCCACTGCTTTCCCAGGCCACTACCAGGGAGCTGGATTGGAAGGGGAGTAGCCGGGATTCCAGCCTGCACCCATATGGGATGCTGGCACCACTTGTGCCTGCCCCAATAAAATAAATGTTTAAAAGATAAATTCTTTAAAGATTTTACTTATGTATTTGAGAGGTAGAGTTACACACACAGAGAGGGAGAGAGAAAGGTCTTCCATCTGCTGGTTCACTCCTCAAATAGCCACAATGGCTGGAGCTGGGCAGATCCTAAACCAAGAGCCAGGAGCTTCTTCCAGGTCTCCCACATGGGTGCAGGGGCCCAAGGACTTGGGCCATCCTCCACTGCTTTCCCAGGCCACAGCAGAGAGCTGGATCAGAAGGGAAGCAGCCAGGATATGAACTGGCACCCATATGGGACCAAATAAAAAAGACATTTTTTAAAGATTCTAAAAGAAAACAGGTGGCTGTGGTAGCACAGCAGGTTAAGTGGCTGCTTGGGATCCCTACATCCCTTACTGGAGTTTGTGGAATCAAGTCCCACCTCCACTTTAGATCCAGTTCCCTGCTAACACACAGCCTGGGAACAGCAGATGATGGCCCAGAGTGTTTGGGTCCCTGCCACTCACATGGGAGTCCCCAGTGGAGTTCCTAGCTCCTAGCCATGACCTGCTGTTGCAGGTATTTGAGGGGTGATCTCTCTCTCTCTCTCTTTCTGTCTCCCTGCCCTTCAAATAAATAAATATACAGTTAAAAAGAGAGGGGAAAAAACTAAGAAAAATGGCTTTAACAATATCCCAGGCAGGAAAATATATGGTCTCTTCCCCACTTAGTTTCCAGTGCACACGACCTGAGGTGGACATGGAATTCTCACCATGCAGATAATTTACACTCAGTTTTATTTTACCTAACTCTGTAGAAGTTTTTGAAAAATCATTTCTTTCCAAGACCTCCCCTCTTTTTATTTATTTATTTGACAGGTAGAGTTATAGACAGTGAGTGAGAAAGGTCTTCCTTCCATTGGTTCACTCCCCAAATGGTTGTTACGGCCAGCACGCTGCGCCGAACAAGAGCCAGGAGCTTCTTCCTGGTCTCCCATGCAGGTGCAGGGCCCAAGGACTTGGCCATTCTCCACTGCCCTCCCGGGCCACAGCAGGGAGCTGGACTGGAAGAGGAGCAACCAGGACAGAATCCGGCACCCATATGGGATGCCGACGCCACAGGCAGAGGATTAACCAAGTGAGCCACGGTGCCGGCCCCTCTTTTTTTGTTTCTAACAACTCTCTTTCTGGTCCCATGTCTCTTTTCTTAAAATTTAACTCACTGGGGCCTATGTTGTGGCACAGCGGGTTAGGGCCACCACCTGCCATGCTGGCATCCTGGGCTGTTCTGCTTTCTGTTCAACTCCCTGTTAATGTGCCTGGGAAGGCAGCAGAAGATGACCAAGGGCTTGGGCCCCTGCTACCCACGTGTGAGACCAGACGAAGCTTCTGGCTCCTGGCAACCAGAGGATGGAAAATCTCTCTCTCTCTTTCTCTCTTTCTCTCTCTCTCTGCCTTTCACGTAACTAAAGAAATGTTTTTTAAAAATTAACTCTTGCCTTTTTTTCCCCAGTGATAACTGGAAATACAAGTATATCCCCTGGCCGGCACCGTGGCTCACTAGGCTAATCCTCCGCCTTGCGGCGCTGGCACACCGGGTTCTAGTCCCGGTCAGGGCATCGGATTCTGTCCCGGTTGCCTCTCTTCCAGGCCAGCTCTCTGCTGTAGCCAGGGAGTGCAGTGGAGGATGGCCCAAGTCCTTGGGCCCTGCACCCCATGGGAGACCAGGAGAAGTACCTGGCTCCTGCCTTCGGATCAGCGCGGTGTGCCAGCCACGGCGGCCATTGGAGGGTGAACCAACGGCAAAGGAAGACCTTTCTCTCTGTCTCTCTCTCACTGTCCACTCTGCCTGTCAAAAAAAAAAAAAAAAAAAAAAAAAAAAAAAGTATATCCCCAACTCAGAAGACTTTTTAATTTAAGACTCAAAATCTCCAATTACATCTGCCTGTTGTGGATTGAACAGCACTTGTCTCCCCAGACTCGCCCAGCTATTTGAACCCTGCAACCTTATGTTAACGGTTAACTGACTGTTGCTAATGGTTGGTGGATTCAGGCGGAGACCTGGTTTAATTATGGCAGCTGGGAGTGGGCCCTGTGGGAGGTCTTTAGGTCATGGGGGCTTGCCCTTGGACAGTGTATCTCTGGAGAAGGTCGGTTATCTAAGCCAAGCTCGGCCTGGCTTCTCCCTCTGCTCCCTGGCCCACTGTATAGCTGCTGCTCCACAAATGTTTTGCCCCTGCCTGGCCTCCAGCAAATGCCAGACTAATGAGGCTACCCAGTCTTGAACTGTGACCCCCTCCCCCGAAATGTTAGCAAAATAAGTGTTTTTATTCCCAAGAAGCTCCTCTCGGGTATTTTAGTTACAATAATGAAGAGCTGACCAAACACTGCCCATTCACCACTTAGACATTTTGATAGGTGTTGATTTGCCACTAATATTCTGATGTTTGTAATAATGAGTATACTAGCATAATTCTCACTTGTGGGGCCAG